AGGAAATTCAACCATTGGATTCAGCCATGCTGTACCAGGTATAATATTAAATGTTGCAGGACATTAGTCTGGATGACACCAGCAGGTTCACCACTGAAATCAGAACTTATGCCAATGGGGATACCTTAAAGTAGCCTATTTGAAGTATTGGCATCTGGTATTTGGTGGCATCTCTTGCCTTGATATTTGTGTCACCATCAGTGCTTTTTAATCACTCCGTGTCAAACCCATCATTCAAAGACTTGAGACTCTATAAGCGGCATTTACACCCCCAAAACTATAGCATCTAGGACAATTTGAGCCCTGAAACCCTATTGGTAAAGAGATAGATTTGTTCATCACACTGAAGTAATCAAGTTGGCCAAAAAAAAAGTATGCTTGCACGCATTTGGGGGCTAATGAGATCCATCCATAGTACCTCAGATCTCTGGGCAGTTGATTGGCTTTCAGGGCACCAGGCCTGGTTGGCTTGGCAGATGGTCTCCCTCCACAAGAAGGGGGACACATGGTGTGTTCCAACTAGAGGACATCCTGCCCTCCATTTAAAAAATGGCATTGGTTTTTGTTTGAGTTGACTCCTCTATATGTCAATTTTCTAATTGCAATGTCTATATCAGTAGAGATGTAATTGACCATCATGTTACTGGTATGTGGCGTTATATTGACTCAGAATTCTACCAAAACAGCATACATGCAATAATTACTGAATGAATATGCGCAGATTTATTCAGTTCACATATGCATTACTCATCTCCACCAATATTTGAAGGATTTACATGTGCAGATTTACTACGATAAGGCCCAAATACATCACTTACAGGTTTGTCCCCTTAATTCAATTTAATTCAGTTTATTTATATAGCGCCAATTCACAACACATGTAATCTCATGGCACTTTACAGTTCACCAGATCATCCAGTCAAATTGATTCAAAGTTTTCTATGTAAGCAAAACCAGTTGATTGCATCGACTTGAATGCAATCCCTCACACTAAGCATGCTTGTAGTGACAGTGGAGAGGAAAAACTCCCTTTTAACAGGAAGAAACCTCCAGCAGAACTAGGCTCAGTGTGAGCGGTCATCTGCTGAGGCCGACTGGGGTTCAAGGAGACAGAAGCAGAGATAAAAAGAGCAGCTATAAAAGATGGCCCGGTCCAGGAAACACACAGCCAGGCAGACGAGCTCTGAGCCAGCTCCCATGTCAGAGGATGAAGAGAGCACATCCAGCCAGTCACAGTTAGAGAAACAGGCCGATCTCCAATATCTATAAACAAAGGTGTTGATGGCAGCAGCACAGCTGATATTTCTCTCCAAATTGGTGTC